AAAAAGAAAAACTCAACCTTTCGGCTTGCCCTTCTTCTTGGCTCCACGTCCCCCTGATCTGCAGGGCCTTGAAGGCACTGCTGGCTCAAGGGTTGGGCTCTTGCGATACAAGTTCAGGTAAGGAGCAAGGGATGAATTTGACAGAGACAGATCTGCCAACTGTGCTAAACCGTCGTTCAAATATATACGGGCGGTACGGGCTGCTGCCCACCGCCCCTGGACAAGGAGGGTGTCGAACGATCCGTGATGGTTAAAGTGGAACGTCGCGCCACCACGTCGTAAACTGTAAGGTCTGAAATGTTGGTCAGTGAGGTGCAATGCATCAATGGCCCGAGCAAATAATGCTCGCCAAGCATGAGGTTTGAGAGTTAAAAAGGCTGTTGGAGAATTGGACTGCTTCCAACGCCACAAAGCTGGGAGGATGGACTGCTCATGCAGGGTTACACTTTCGGCTGCTCCTTGGCGTGCGCCTCCCTTAGTCAGGCCTAATGACAGCACGGCCGGTCCCTTCGGCCCAGGGATGAACACATCCTTTGCCCGTAGGCTCAGAAGTTCTCCTGCGCGCAACAAACCAAAAAATGCGACACGCAGCGACAAGCCAAAGGTGGGGCAATCGTTAAAAATTGACCACCCACAGAGAGCATCCAGAACCTGAAGGGTTAAGGGCGGCGCCCGATTCGGGATCTCTACCGATGTCCAGGCTTTCAACAACCGCCAACTTGCTGGAAGCTTTCGCTTGAGAGAGGGATCACGGTCCTGAAGAGCTGCTAAAGTGTTATTGGCAATTGACTTGCCTTCGCCTACCGCCCACAGATGTTCAAGGTAGTCACTGACCAGGCCATCGAGGAGGTTCTGCCGCTTTGGGAGGACCAATCCCTCCCCTGCCAACCAGTCGAAAAAGCGGTTTAAGCAGTCTGTATATCGTTCTCTTGTGCGAGGTTGAACTGTGAGCCCTTTGAGTGAACCTAGCCTGCTTCGGACTTTCTTGCGCTCCTGTTGACTCCTACCTTCCATCACTTTTGTGGCCTTTTTCCCCATTTCCGATGTAATGGCCTTCGCGACGGCCGATCGGCCGGGTTCTGGTGTGTGTCCACGTAGGCCCACACACCCACAAGCCCACTTGCCAACTGAAGCGCTCCAATCCTACACAAGGTTCTCCTCAAACGGCGGCTCGACGATCTTCCTCTTGACAAAGCATGAAGCACCACAAGAGAATCGATCAGATGCAAAAAACGGCAGGCTCCTTCCTCAAGCTCTTTCAACCTCCAAACTATGGCTGTTTTGACTGCGCGCAGCTCCAAGGCGTTGATGTGTTCCGCATCACCCGTCCAGCGCCACCCTGCCACATCCTTCCATCGCCAAAGTTTGCTGGGAATCGAAGCTCGTAACCTGTGCTATCTTGCTGGGAGATCCGTGCCCAATTGAAGCAGGATGTCTTCTCCCTTGACAGAGACTTGCCCTAACAACCGCGGTACCAGCCCCACTGGAGGCGCCCCCGCCTTGGTGGTTTGGCGAATGGGAGGTCGGAGCAGGAGGCTTGCAAGGTTCTGTTCTTTCCCTGGGGTCAACCGCAAGACAAGCGTCTCCACGTCAAGGTCGGGCAACATTCCAAGGGTACGAAACAGGCAGTAGAGCAAGTAGACGACCACCGGAATCGACCAACTGTTACCAAGCAAACGGAGCCGACAGTCATTGTGATCTGGCTTCCCTTCCATGCTCTTGACCATGCACCGACGGGTATAGTCCATAGGGAACCCAAGAATGGCCTCCCTCTCCTTGACTGAAGGAACCCGATGTTCGCCTGCGCGGTTCACCACACAGTTCTCAGCACGGTATTGGTATGGCGGGAACCGGTGTAGGTCCGCTTTCCACCGAGCGATTGCATCCGGGGGACACAAACTGAGTCCTGCGGGCCGGCGTCCCGGCTGAGGCGACGGCCTAGCAGTGGTAAACGTGGGAAAAGGACTGTCCGCACGAACACGGCGCCAGCCAGCCTCCAGGAAATCCTGCTCATCCACTGTTGCAACCAACTCAACGCGCCCCTGCACTGGGAGAGCACTTTCTCTCCCCTTGATCACTGTGGCTCCGGGCATGCTCCAAGGATCCCAGGTGCACCAGTACAACCTAGGCCGCCTGGCAAGACTCACCTGACCTGCGTCTATCAACCACGGCGTAGTCTCGTATGCCTGCGACATGGTTTCACAGTCCTGGACGTCCATCGAAGCGACATTCTCAACAAGGCGATGAACCGGGCACCAACTGAAGTGCTTGCGAATCAAGGCTTCGATCCTGGGGATATGCTGGAAAAGGCTAGATCGCAGATCTCGAAGTGCCCCCTTCCGATCGACGTTGAGTCCGGAAACGCTGGTCCAGCTCCTAAAAGCACAAGTCCTACGCTGGCAAAGCGCAACCTCCATTCAATCACATGCTCCTCAGTGATCGCGGCGACATCTTCAAAGCAGACGACATCCGGAAAATACGACTCCACCACTCGGTTGGCCTCGGGCGAAATCTCAACCGACACATATCCTCCTACAGGCACACGCAGCGCATCCAGGGCAACCCGCAACGCACCTATCCCATCAAAGAGCGACACAACGAGAACCTGGTCTATCTCCTCCGGCTCAACTGCATCTCCGCGACACTCTGCCTGACAAGCCGCTACCCCAAAAGGACTAAGCTCTCGACTGACGCACAGTCCGCCTCCGGTGGTAGATGCATCACTGGCTGTGACCAGTTCCGAGGTACTCAGTCTGAAGTCCATGTAGGCCAAGGGGGTCAAAGCGATAAACCTCAACAACTCAAGCGCCACCGCAGTGCGAAGGGGTCGCCTACACCTGGGTCCCCACTTGCTCAGCTCAGTCACTTGTCTCCAGATGGCATTCAAACCTGACAGCAATGGTCGCCGGAACATTGCAATGTAGACGAAGCCTCCACCAACTACCTGCAACTCACGCTGCGACGCTTTCCCGGCAATGCAGAGCTCCAAGGCGAACCTCACATACCTACCTACCTTGTCCGCTTTGGGCGAGGCACGGCCCAAGTCTCCATCAACCCAGGCCCCCAGCACTTCAGCTTGCACCTGTTGAGTGACGCCCTTCTTGGGATGACGTGGGAGGCCCAATTGCTGGTAGGTCTCCCTTACAGCCAGCGTCCAGGCTGACGGAGTCCCCTTCAAGGTCTCGGCAAGCGCCCTATCCACTTTGCGCAGCTCGTCATAATTGTCAAGGTACACACGGTACTGATGAGGGGCCGTGCTCTGATGACGATCGCGGCGAATCTCCTGTTGTCGGCCTGCCAGTTGCTTTTCTCCTCCCAATGCTTGCTGTATGACTCTGCGGTGTACATGCTGAGCAATCGCCACGGAGTTTATAAACCCCATGGGCAACACCCTACTTACCAAGTGCCAACCGGCGCCGGAGTAACCTGCTGGGAGGCCTTCGGGCGGAACCTCCCTTGCAAACCCCATGAAACGGTGCCATTCAACTGGAGTCCGAAAGAGATAGAAAAAACACCTCACGTCTTCTGACGACGTGAGGAGAAGTTCTCCGTCATCTAAAACGGTGCCAGCCATTCCCGTGACCGTGGGGAGTGTGGATGTGTCTCCGACGAGGTTTCGACATAGACCGTTTGTTGGGACCAGATTCATGATCAGCCGGCATACCTCGAATTCTCCACCTTTTTCATCTACAGCCTTCTCTCCCTTCTCAACTGCAAACAGGCCGTTAAGTACAGGTCTATCACCAACATGGTAAAGCTGCTCTCTCTCTTCATGAGCCCACACACTCCCCGCTCGAGCAGTCCCAGGCACACCTCGGCCCAGTTCGTCTGGCTCACCATCACGGCTGGCGTCTTTCCCAAGCGCTGATCCTGAGGCGGGAGCAGGAACTTCTCAAACTCAGCGACGTAAGAAAGGGTTCCGCCATCACAGAATTCCCCCAGGTCCAGACTTCCTACCCCCTCGGGAAAGGCGGCGGCTATCATCTTCCACTCAAATGCTCGAGCAACGCGAACCTCCTCACCAGAATAGTCAATACCTTTTGTGGCAAAGAACTGATCCAGGCAAACTGGGGGGAGCACCAACCGGGAAACCTCACTGCTCTCCACCACTCCTTTAAGTCTCTCAATGATCCTCTTCTGCACCTTATTGACCTTCTTCAGACCCTTTGATTCAACCCCATAAAGGCTGTTCAAACCCCTCACAACCAAATCCACGTGGGACACGCTTTCAAGCACTCCTTCAACCCCTCAGGAAGCGGGAGAGGGAAGACCCCCTCCGTGGACTGCCCGCAACGCGTGGTCTGTGACAACACCTCCAGGGATTGAGAAAGTGCCGGCCCCACATCCTTCAGCAGACATTCAACTTCTGCAAGATCATTTGACATTGGCTCCATTGTCCATGCTCTGTCTTCTGATCTTCCCCACGGCACGGCGTCAAAGCCAGTCGCGGAGCCACTTCACATGCAACTTGGGAGTGATGGCTCAACTCCCCTGTACTTCTTTCGAAAAAATCCTCTCCAGAGCTTCGGCGCTGTCCGTGGCCCATGCCTACAGATTGCTTCCTCTTCCACTCTGGATGGGAGGGATCCTCCTCCTCCCCTGCCCAGCCTAAAGAGCTTTGCGGCCTCTTACGGACTTCCAGCTCCTTCTCAGGCTCATACGGTCCTTCCTCTTCAAATCCTCCAGTGGCCTTTCGGCGGCATTCCACCAGAAGCTCATCTATCGCCCTCTCAAGTCCTTCCTCCTTCTTCCTTTCTTCATCCTCACCTTTCCTGGCATCTTGACTTCTCTCACTCATCAACCCTTTCTCTCTCTGCCTCTTTTTGGACGTGTTCAAAGCCTTTCCTTCCTCAGCCTCCCTTCCTAATTGTCGTCTTTTTGCTTCTTTCCCCATTTCTGCTTTTCCTTTCCTTTCCCTTTCTCACCCCCTTTGGGTCGCTGGGATGGATCTGAGCTAGGATAGGCCTTTCCACGTCCTTTGGGTTGTCCTTCTACCTCTGTCTTCTGACCAAGCCCATGGGGCCGGCTTCCTACGGTGCGGTTGCGAAAATCATCCCTCGCGCTGCGAGCTGCCTCCATTTGTTCGGCAGGTTCTGCCATGCGGACACGCTCCGAGTTGACCAACTCCAGCTGGCGGGAGACCGAATAGTGCCCACCTCGCAAAGTCGACTCGAGACTCTTTGCCCTCTGAACAAGCATATCAAGCGCAGCTGCCACCTTCCGACGAAGAAGCAAGTCAGAGACCTGAGCGACAGTCAGAATCTCCTGCCAAAGCACTGGACTTGCCAAGCTTTGCAAATGCTGGTGCACGTACATCGAGAAAAGGGGACTCAGCTGATCCTTTGACATGCTATGGAGCTCACCGCGCGAGGATAGGAGATGCTCCCGGACGTTGTCGAGCGCCTGTGAGGTAAGCGCCCCAGGACAACGCTCGCTTAACTTCCGCACCCTCCGGGTTTCTTCGAAGAGCGGTCCGTCCTCCTCCGACCCTGTCTTGTCTTCAGTGCTCGAAGAAGAGGATGAACCTGACTCACTAGACTCGGATCTTTTCTTCTTCTTCTCCTTCTTCTTGCTAACCCGGCGCGCCTTCTTCATCAATCTCCTCCTCCGTGGCACGTTCGGATCAAGGCACGTGTGTCCAAAGATCGCCCGGGCTGTCTTCTGTCCTCTCTCCAGCTCCTCAGCCTCCTCCTTCTTGGCAAGGAGCTCATCGAACTCCTTCTCGGCTGTTCGCTCTTTCCTTTTCCTCTTCTTTCTCTTCTTTTTTGCCTCCTGTTCCTCAGAACCCTCCTTAGCCGGCTTGTCAACCTCTTTGGGAGGCGCCTCACCTCCCCTTCCTTTGCCTCGAGCCGCTGCCATCTCTCTCAAGCCTGCCAGCTCATCCACCTCCTCTTCAACTTTGCCCTTCGCCGGGATCAAATTTGTGTGCCAAGGCTTCGAGGCTATAGCTGCGTTCCAATACCCCTTGGCATGGAAATAGCCATCTCCCGTAGTCAGCTGCCCGCACTCTTTGGGGCACACATGGACTCGAACTTTTCGGGCTCCGCCTCCTCCATAGCGCTCAAGGATCTTATCCGTCAAGGTTCCTGTCAACTCGAAATCCATCTCCTCCTCACTGGGCTTCAAGCCGACAACTCGCCCTGCAACCTTCACATGCCCCCCATAATGCGAAGCTTCTCCAAGTTCAATGATGTCAAGCCTCCTCAAAATGTCTATAGTCAATGATGCCAACGGATGATATTCCTCTACCACTGGTTTCTCTTCTTCCTCAACCTCCTCTGCTCGGCCCCTTGCTGGTCTCCTCATAGATCTCCCTCGCGTCAAGGCCGATGCTGGTCTTCTCATCTTGGGAGCCATGACTCCCTTCACCAACGCCCTCTGTACTGCTTCCTTTCGTGCAGTTCCTGTTTGGCGCGTTTGGTTATCCCCTTGTTGGTACTCTCAGTCCAACGCGGGTGATGGGAATAAGGGATGCTTCCTCGCCACCCTGAGCCCTGAGCTGCTCCACGACCTCCTCCTGGCTGAACAGGTGGCACTCGCGGTGGTGGGTGATCTGGCGTCCTCGGCGACCTAGGTTCCCGACGGCTTGGCCTTGGCCTCAAGTAGGTCTCTCTCTGAATCCCACTGCTAGGCTTGGCGGAACCGGGAATCTCCTCACACACTGGCTTTTGGGAGATATAATCCTCCCTTTTCTTCTTTCTTACTGCAGAGCCGCTAACAGATCTTGACTTGGAATCTCTCTTCCTGTCCTTCCTCTTTTCTTTCTCTTTCTGATGCCTCGGGGTTTTTGATCTGCTCCTCTTCGACTTGCTCTCTTCTTTCCTCTTGGGCAAACTCTTCTTCTCCTCAACCACGTATACACCCTTCGCGGGAGCTTCCTTCTTCTCTGCGTTTACTCCTCCTGCACCTCCTTCCTTCTCTCTTGACTTCTTTTTCTCCTCTTCTGGACCTGCTTTCTTGGCCTTCTCCTCACCTCTGATCTTTCTGCCTTTCTCACTCCTCTCAGCCGCTTCTGCTTTAGGAGACTTCTCTCCCTTGGAGCCCTTGCTGGGAGACCTTTCTCCCTTTACTACCTCTTCCTCTTCTTCTTGTACAAGGCGCCCCACGGAGTAGAAGGCAGTGTCCAAGATCTTAGTGACCTTTGCCTCCGCTTCACGAGTGGGAGGAATACGATCACTCGAGATGAGGGCCCACAACCGGTCTGCACTCCCGCAAACCGTGCAGCGACCGGCGAGAAGGTTCCACTTAGAACAAGTGGAACAGGTGGGCATACCACGTTTGAGCCCAATGCTACATGGAACATTCAACTGTTTCGTGTTTAGTCATGAGGTCATTAAACCATACCGTGCACTCGGTTCGTCAAGCTGCCAGGTTGCGTTCAGCATGAGGAGGATAAAGAAAAGTACTCAACCGTGCCTCTTCACAACAACCGGACACCTCTTTGGCCACCAATGAGGAAGCAAACTAAGGTCCTAGAGGATATGCCGACCCAGCACCAAGGCTTCCCAAGGAATAAATCATGACGCATCAACATCCGCCCCTTCAACATCACCCCTTCCTCGCTCATCCCCCTCGCTCATCCCCATGCTTCCACCCCCTAGGCCCTTACGGTAGAAACGTAGAGAGCACGAGAAAGTGCCAACACCCATGAGCAGCCACGCGCATGCCACGTGCCTCGTCGGAGTAGTCGGCGATCCAATCCTCTGCACGGCTCACCTCACCGTGCGTTGCATCGCCGAATCGCCGGACGTTCGGAGTGGCGCGGACGTTCGGAGTTGCCCCGGCATGGGATGTCGTTTCGGGAACGGCATGGCACCAAGATGGAAGTACAAACCCTTCCGTAGAGGGAACAAGGGAGCAAAATGCCATGATGCAAACTTCACCTATTTGCAGCACAAAATGGACCAGCAGGTTAGAGGCATGGGTCCTTTCTTGGAAAGGACCTTTGCGCCAAAGGGGGTCGGCATCGGTCGGGTCGGGTCGATCGGGTCGAGCGAGAATGGTGTCGGATCGGTGGAGCCAAGAAATGACCAGTCCGGGTGCGGCACAAGTAGGGAATAAGGGATACCGGTGAGCAAGACGACATCTCCCAACAAGAGCAAGAAGCGCCCAATAGACTTCTAGATACCTTAGGATCCGGCCACCCTCATTCCTGACTTTCGTCGCACCGGTCGGTTGAACGACACAAAAGCTGTTGGTCCTCTCTTGCCTAGTCAAGGCCCCCCAGTCCCCTCCACAACTCAGACTCCCACCGTCAGGGATGAGAGATCCTGCTTCCGCGCCATGATCTTCTCAAGCTGCTCTTCGTACGTCCCTTCTGTGATTAGGCGGTGCACACACACCTCGGCGAGTCCAATGACTGAGTCAGCTGGGCGAGTTCAGCTGGGCGAGTCCAAGAGAGTAAAGGCAAAAAATCACAGCTGGTGAGTCATACACAAACCCAGCTAACTTGTGGAAGCAACGAAGACCCCAAAGAACAACAAATAACGTCCTTGCAACTTTGGACTGATGATCCATAGTGGAGATAGTGTGCTTGCAATCTTGCAACCACAAAACAGCACTGATAGGTATGGAGCATGGGCAGTGAGAGGAGCCAGCATGTCTCTCAATTCCCCATCCCAGCCGCCGAACGCTTCTGACCAATTCGGTGGCAGCGATCGGTGGCCTCGCGGCCGCAGTCTGAGCAAACAGGCATGAGTCGTAAGTGAGCATCGCTGGCAGAGCCATGTGAAGACATGCCTCATCGCACAGAAGAATCACTCATGGTACGGTACGGTTGTATATATATATATATATCGATCGAATCACATCCCGGCCACAACAGCGTTCTGCACAGCGCCTGTGCTTCCTTTGCCGGGTTGTAGCATCGATCAAAGTGGATCACATGATTGGCGGCCGTGAGGTTCAAACCGATTCCACCGCACCTTGTGAGGACGAAAATGGAAGACTGGCCCGCCCCAAGCCACGATGAGCATATGGTCGTGATTTCCAGTTCCAGTTTTTGCACCAAGCCAGCCCCGACGCACCGAGCCAGGCCTGACCTCTCTGCGTGTCAGCGAAAACTACTCCGCAATCGGTGCTTCGTCCCTTTTCCAAATAAATACATTTGCGAAACAAAATGATGGTCTGGGTTATGTGCTAGGTATTGCACAATGATTCCCGTTTGCGGGGCCACAAATGAAAATTCATGAAAATTGCAAACGTCAATCAAGCAAATCTCTCTTTGGTCCTAGGCTTCTACCGGCAACCCCTGCATTCCTCCTTCATTCCCACAGAGCAGGCACTGCAAAGTGATCAGCAGCAACTGGCACTTTGGGTCCGTTTGAAAGCGCTGCTCCACTTCGTTTCGCTCCTGAGACGTCGCGAAGTAGCAACTTCGTCGGCCCCCCAAAACCCGGACTTCGTCGGAGAGAAACCAACGCTGGAACGGACGGAAGGCAATTTGCATGAATCTAGTAGTTCTAGTTCTGATATGTATAGTTTCTTATACATATCTATGCACACATAAACAGGTAGATAGATAAATACAGCAAATAGTTCTAACAAATTAACAACGCTCCACTTCCCAAACTCCCATACCTGGGCGGTCTCGATGCTTGTCTTAGACCCATTCTTAACCGCCCAGTTCACACCGCCCATTCCACCCCACACAAAATTCTGGCGTCCTGGAGCGAGAGATCGCCCGTGAAAATCAGGACGGTCATGTCATGGAAGCGATTCCCAATCAAACCCGCCAGCACGCCTTGGGAAAAGCTGCGGGTAGGCCAAGAATGCGAGAGAGGGGCCAGGAATGTTCGTCACACAAACCAATCAACTATGTAGGGGGATTTAATGGGACTTTTATATCTGCTCTTTTCAGGGGGCTCTTCTTCTTGAGGCCATTCAATGATACTACCAAGGAAACAAAAAAGAAGTGCCCAGAGATGCCCCCAGAGTGGCTTCAGACAGATTCGCCATGCGGAGAACTTGATCAACGACTTACTGCACCGGTGATTGGAACCCGCCATACCGTCCTTCCGTCCCTGATCGGCTCATCGACTCATCGACCACCTTGTCCAGAAGTGTCCCTGAACCATGAAAAAATATGATACGCCAAGTTCGGCATGCACAGAGAACAATGAAGAATCTAGATCATGTGGCACATACTGACTCGAATATCTCAAATTGGATGCCCTCATGAATTTGCGTAATTAGACCATTGAGAAGACTCACTTCACAAATGCCCATGTGCTGTTATTGTTGACCTTTGTTTCCAGCCAGCACAGGCCCCGTTCCGCCTCACTGTGCACATACCCCATCTGTTTTTTCCCTCTTCTTACATCGTGGATCATCGAGCTCTCACGCTGTCCCACCGGTACCCACTGTACCATCGCTGTACGGGGCGGAGTGGGCACACTCAGACTCGCAGCGTGCATGCATCCAAATGTATCAATCAAAATACATGAGACATCATGAGACCTGAAAACACCGCTGTGGGCCGTCGTCTTTCCAAAAAAAGCTACCAAAGAACGCCGCGACGCCCGTGACCTCTCCGAGGCTCTGATCACATCCTTCCGGGTCGCGAAGACCACGGCTTTCTCTTTGGCGGGAACGATTTCGTCCAGGAGCTCGCACAAGCGGACCGTCTTGCCGGAGCTCTCAACGCCTTGGCCCAGGTCCACGATGATTGGCAGGAGAGCTGGGGAGCTTCGGAGCTTGGGCGGTTTGCTTGCTGCTGTGAGAGTGGGACGTCCAAGTCCAATGCTTTCTGTGCCAAGAAGTCCCAAGATGTTGAATTCTGCCAACAGGTTGTCATAGTCTCGTCCACCTGGTTCGGGCGAGCCTTCTGTCCATTCAAGGCAAGGCGCGCCGTTGCACAGTCATGCCCTTGCAGGAGTCTGGGTACTTCCCCCGGTCCAGGCAAAGGGGGTGGCTGCAAACCCGCCGCGCGTGCTCAAGCATGGCAAAGATGTGCCCACGCCTCAACAGGTATTATTCTCACGCTTCAAAACAAGCGAATCGCAATAAGGCGAGTCACAAAAGAAGGAGGTTCAGAAAAAGTGATCGCACATCCAAGTTGTGCCAGGGTCATGGTGGCCATGTTTGGCCCAGACCCAGTTGAATCAACGCACTGGACTCACAGCCCGTACATGGAAGCTCTTAAGAGCCATGCAAACATGTGCAAACCAACTCTCCGTATTTCCACGCCTTTGACAAGCACAAGGAAATGTCTTCAGTCTTTCCTTTTGGCCCTCCAGCCTCTCGAACTTGTGGTTCTCGCGAGTCTCGGCCGAGCTAGTCATCTTCACCCGGAAGTCGTGCTGGATGGCTGCGTAGAGTTTCTCCTGCCTCGGTGTGGTTTCTATGCCGTTCTTGCCACTGGACGGGGGCCAAGTCCAGAGGTTCAATGATCCAAGTCCAGAGGTCCAGAGGCTCACACTGAAAAAGGATTGCTTTCTCACAGGAAGCTATATAGTTATGTTGAGTGGGTTCCAGTCTGGTATGTATCCTGCAATCGTCTGCGCCTCCACTCACTCAACTCGTGCTGGTCCAATGTTCTCAAATGGTCCGGCCATCCAACTTCCAAGGCGAGGGCTCTTTTGTCAGTGTTGTTGTCGATGCAAGATCGATCTTCCTGAGCAAGGATGGCCCAGCATGAAAAATGAGGAGAACAGCTAGAAAGACACTGATTGTTATATACCTTGGGACAACACGCACCGGTCGCGCCAAGTAGCTCGGGCAGATCGGGCAGGATGTTCGGATCGGTTTTGAGCCGCCGCATCTGAAATGGCGCCGTCAGCCTGGCGCGGCACCAGGCATGAAGGATGCAGGGCGTTTGAGTGGCGTAAAGCGCCAGCGCCGAGATGGAGCCGGAGACACTTCGGAGACCTCGTCCCGAAGTTCAAAGGACGGACCACAACATGTTGCAGATTGAGACCGTTTTGAAACTCTACACGGATGATGACAGGCTTTTGGGGCAAGTGACTTGTTTGGCCTCTCCCAACCACCGACACCCCCCATGGGCCGCCTTTGGAGGAGATCCAGTGTCTGCTTCCGCTTCTCTGCGACGAGGCTGCCATTGGGGCCGTACCCTGGAGGTCTTACGAAAACCGGGCTGTAGACATGACACTTCATCTCCTGTAAGCCTGCCCTTCACCCCCCCAAACAAAAGGGCAAAACAATATATACATGTATGTTGCGAAATCTCCTGCATGGCCAACCTGCAAAGGGGTTGGATGCTTAGATAGACACTGCAGCACCTAGTGATCATGAGCGATCGACTTGTCAGGCGATCATGGCACCATGGCAATTGGTTACCAGGGACCACTACCGCATGTGGACCAGCCAACAACAAGCTATCGAAGAAATACCAGAAACAACCCTGCTCAACAGCGAGCTTGTGAAGACTGAAGTCACTTGCCCAAAGCTTCCCGGCGCCTTTCTCGATGATTCGTGAGAACGTCGCGGAGAAACTCGCCTCGACACCACGTCAGACGTAGCGACCCCCAAAGGACCAAAGTTCAGAACCAGTTTCACCCACGGGAAACCATGGTGAGCCTGTAGTCCAGTGGACTACTCATAGCGGGAAGCCCCCAATTCTTCACACGCTCTGGATCCAACCCTTCAGAACCCTGTCAAAGCACATACGGCTGTCTACAAAAATGAAAGGAAGCATCACACCGTCGACCCTACACAACGCAAGCGCAAGAACCACGGCCTGATCTCCAAGGTATCCATAGTTCACGAAATCGAAGATGCTGTGAAGCTCATCAACCTTGTTTTCAATCGGCGTGCCTGTCGGGGCGCAAGCAGCGCCGCAAAACGCGCTTTGGTTGACTACCTAGGATACAGAATGCCGGACTGAATGAAACAAACCAACTCTTAAATTGCAACCGCACTATCAGTCACTATCAAAGCCGGCCTGATAGCGCAATCCTTGTATGACCGATGGCATTGCCCACCTCCTTGATCGCCTTTGACACGAGTGCTCCGTGGTTCTTGATTTTCTGGGCTTCGTCGATGATCATACCTTGTCCCGGCCATTTTTGAACGGCTGGAGACATGCTCGTCACAATCAACGACACTGGCACGGCACAGGGGTACTGCACACATGCCTGAAGAGTGGCACTATGTTCCATGGTCTTGCATGCTGGGAAAGTAGCAAAATACAACTCCCCACAAAAGTGCCTCAAGAGCCTGTCGGCCTAAAGTGCCGCCTCTAATTTCAATCCAGGCTGCCACTGAAGCAAATTACGTCCACATCTGAAAACTTCAGCCGCTCATTTCGGACGATCTCGTACGTCGTCAGAAGGACATCGTAGGCCTAGATCTGGCGGCGGCGCAAAAGTGGCCCGGACCAATGATTCGTGAAAAGTTGTCAAACTTCCCCTTGCACGTCCCCCTTTCTCAAGCTGAACACCGACAAGAGCATAGCACTTTGGCCCACGGGGACGCATGCCTTTGGAGAAAGGATGCCGCACACGTTTCCATGGAAACACCTTCAACCTGCAGCCCAGGAGCTCGGCCCATGTCATCTGGGAGGCTGCGTTTGGGGCCGTGGTACGTGTAGATGCGCAAGCTGGGCGCCCAACGTTCGAACTCGCGCTGCCAGTTGCGAAGAAGCCCTGGTGGCACCACCGTGAGGAAGGGCCGCTTCTTGCCATTCTCCACCAGCAAACCTTCCTCCTGAAAGCGGGCGGGGGGATCCAGAAAACTTCTGACCTTGAGGATGCGAAAAAACAAACATTGCATGGTTGACTGTACTTGGTAATAACACTGAGAGGATCTGGATCTGAGAGAAAGCGACTCCCCCACCCCAGCTTGATGTCCTTCATATAGAGCAAAACGCTGATGGCTTGCAGTGTCTTCCCAAGACCCATGTCGTCGGCCAACACCGCACCCAACCCGTTTTTGCTCAGGCAGGCCAACCACCTGAAGCCAGCGAGCTGGTAGGGCCGCAAGCAATTCTCCACTGCCTGATCAGCTTCGTCGGGTCAAAACAACGCTGTGATCTTAGCATTCTATGGCTCCAAATCCTCAGCTTTCACTACCAGACTTAAAACATGTTCGAAGCATCCGCAGGTGGACCACTGAATTCAGCTTTTTCAACCTGCACTTGAATCCATCCACGTTTTCGGGGGGCGTTCAATCATTTTTGTGCCGACGTGCGGGCCGAAAACGGGAGATGCCCCTGCCTGGGGTGGCTTGATGTCGGTCATGCGGTCCAAACCCAATGCCTTCTGATGGAAGTGCGGGGCCTCTGGCACAAGCCACACATCCGAGAACTGGGCGTCGCCCAGGGAGGCGCGCAGCAGCTCAAAGAAGTTGAGTTTGATGGGGGGATGCTTGTAGACGGGGCCTCGGTGATGTCCCAACTGAAGCAACTGAAGCGACTCCAAACTGGGCTTGGAAATCAAGAAACATGTAAATTAACATTGCGGCAGTAAACATCACCATCTTTCGGGTCGGACATGTGCCCAGCTGAAATGGGCTCTCCCAGATAGCAGTTACACCTAAGGCCAAGCCACTGGTCAGCTTTGGCCACAACTTTCCGCGCAAAGTCACATAGCGGCCATCCTCCAACAGGGAAGCATTGGACCCCACCAAGCCCCAAGCCTGGATCAACATCCAGCTAGGCTAATGTACTCAAGAAAGCTTGTCACTTCTCAAACGGAAACCAGGCACATGCCTGCCGGATTCCCCAGTGCTGCGTAACCAGTGCCTGGTGGTCATTGGAAGGGATCCAGTAGAGAAATCTCTGGCCACTTGGCCCATTCAGCTGATAGAGGGACTGCAAAAGACCTCACAGGCAACGGCCGCGTCAATAGCAAGGCGCGGTGGAAGACCAGAAAGGAGGCTTTCTCCCAGCTTAGGTAAAACAAAACGGCATACTGTACTAATGGAGCCTTTGAAGGTGGCACCTCTCTGGGCTTGCTTAGCTGCTTTCCAAGAGCTGGGACCCAGGGCTCCATCGTTATCAACGGGATCTTGTTTGAAGGTTATCAGTTGGATCAATCCAATTTTCAATCAGGGCTTCCCTTATGACCTTAATGGCATCATGGCATAAGGACGTGTAAACCTGGATCAAGATGCCACACTCGGGGCTGTCCATGAACTCCTCAATGCTAAGCGATGTCGGTTTGCCAGAGGTGCCCGCAGTAATGCAGCACCAGTCCTCGAGCCAGTCTTGGGCAACAAAAACACACAGACTCCAACAATTGGCATTGCCATTGAAGTATACAGTGGAGGGGTCTAGGAAACCTGTAGCACTGTAGCATCATCTATGATCTGGTGGAGTTGGCGTCCCCAAAGTCCACGTACAACAAACAATGTTTAGAACCATTTAGAACCCACCTCAACCCACGAACCAATCACAAGCAACAAGAATGGCAGCTCCGAGGCGCCATTTTCGCCTGGTTGGCCACCTCCACTGCCCGCCGCGGCAACTCTTGCGGCAGGGTGACTCGCCGGAGGATCTTCACGACCACGGCCGTCTCGCCCTTTTCTGCCTCGGCCACGTGGCGGGGAAATAGCCACGAGATGCCAGAACGAAAAGTTGGATAGATGGGCTTACTGCAATATTGAGAGGGTGCCCAAATGAAAATCTGATACCTGCCACATGCCCCAACAAAGAGAGCTTCAGGGCAGGATGCTGCATGACTGTATGACTCTCGCGGGCAAGACGCAAACTCTTGGCTCAGCGCCTGTGACCTTGTTCTCAGGGTCTCCTCGGTGGCCTCTGCTTCTGCCAGGGACGCTTGTGCGCGAAAGACATCAGCCTGTACCTGCTCAATTTCGACCTTGATCTTTTGCTGGACCTTCAGGGGGCAAGGAGAATCGAGGCTTCACTGGAGAATCGGCATGAAAAACTTGCGACACCACCCCTGAACCCCTCCTCTTGGATGTCCTGCAGGGCCTTGAAACGTAGAGACTTTCTTTCGTGCAAATCCTCCAGGATGAAGCCGTACTGGTTGCAAGCTTGCGTCAGCTCCTCCAACCGCTGCTTCTTCGCACGTAATTCCACCTTGAAGACCTTTGCGGGTTCGGTTGCCGACGTGGACGCTCGACAGTTGAAACATCACCTGATTGAGAAGGCAACGACACACGCACCACTGGGTCATGTTACAATCCACCTCACCTGGTCGACACCGACACATAGGTTGTAAGCAAGAACTTGCCTACAACCCGCTTGCGGCTTGATAGCATGCTGCTCTACAATGTAGGCTCTTGATGAATAAAACACCCACGTGAAGAGGATTTGCAATCCAAATGGTGGGGTATGATTAATCAAGTCTCTACGTTGCAATTCATCATGTCGAGAACAACGCACATCGGCCGTCTATGCCGGCCATTGCTTGAGGTTGCCGGAAATAGAATTAGGAACTCTGGGGTCGTCCAATTGAACCGTGACCTGCCCCAAACGCCGATGGATATTCCCAGCAATCGCAGCGTGGCAACTCCGCCGAGGGAATCCACCTGGCCTTGGTCGTCTGCTTTCGCCACGTGGTTGGCTTTCTCAAAGCTTGTCGTGCAAGGCACGCCTGGCCCGAAAAAGACATGGCATGCCACCTAAACTGCCTATATAAACGGTTCCTGGTGAACCAAAGTTCGTCATGCGTTTCTCTTCCGTGTGTCTTTTTGTCTTGGGCCTCTCTCTCATGGGGAACCGCAGGCCCAAGCCTTCCTCGTGAGGAGAGGCCTACCCTTGCACCAGGTGCCGCGGAGGCTTATGGCGGACGAAGGTGGGGAGAAAACTACTTGGGGAGAAACCATATTGGTTACTGTCCCATTTTCTGTGCGGCATCCTTTTCCTACTCAACAGGAACATCCAAACATCGTCCACCTTCTGAATGCCCTGCGCCTCCAACCTCTCCACACCGCGTTGTGCCAAAGCCAATTCCTGTCTTATCCCAGCAAGGTCTCCCAGCCCTTGCCGGACTCGCAGGCGAGTGATGAGCAAGAAGCTCTCACTTTCTTGTTCCGCCGCCTGGGCCTCCAAGGGTCGACTTGGCACCACAACACGCTTCGGCATCGGCATCACGTCTAGGCCCCAAAAGGCCCTTTACATCGCCACCACGGTGCTTCATTGGATCGTGCACGGGTGAAGTTGCGATCCAAGTATATAATATTATATAATTGTTCTAAATCTTTCGACACCGATCCAACCTTCGAAGCGGCCAGCTTCCATTCCATATCTCCACCCCGGCCGGCCTTCCTTCTTTCCACCTGGCAAAAAAATGCAAATGAAAAGTGTGGGGCATGGTCCAATGAATTAACATGCATACTACCCATCACCTCACTGTCAAATAGTGTGAATAGTGCGCGATTATTGCTCCGGGTGCAAGCAAGGATCCATAAACAAAAAATCGAGTAATCCCCAAACTCAAACAGCCCTCAATGCCTCGGCGACCTTCCTGCGGAGCTCTTTGATCTCGGGGTCGGATTCGCGGACCTCGTCACCGTCCGCCGCTGGCCGTGAACGATCCCGAGTTCAGAATGAGTGTAGCAAAACCACCGAAATCAAAAAGAGTCTGGGCTGAACCATTTGCCAACAATTCACCGACTTCGAGTGCGTCGCTGATGTGTCGTCACACTTTGTCCAAGCCTCGACGCAAGCCTAATTCTGGGTGTGTCCTTCAACCCACGTAACCCACGTACAAGCTGGGGGTCCGAACTGGCACAGCAGGCATGAGGGCCTGGGCCGCTGTTACACAAGTGCCGTGCTTGTCAAATCTAAGCTAACACAATGTCGCGTTGTGGCGTTGTGGGTGCCCGACAGTTAGGTTGAGGTGACAGACTTACGAGGGCTGCTGCTCAGGACGCGACATGTGAGTTCCATTTCCGACGTCAACCCCTTCAAAGGAGAGTAGTCGTTGCTTCAGGCATACGCCTTTGGAGCCCGTCAAGACTTAGCATGATGATTCTACATACTCTCAAACACTCCTTTGTCCATGAAGACCGGAATAAAGCCTCTATAGAACAGCATGCTCTGGGTTGCAAAATGTGTGTTGTGAATTTTTTGGCCCCGTGCCCCTTGCAACTCCAGCAAATCCAACTGTGACAGAGCGAGGCCAACACAAGCCCATCACCAACTCAGGGAAGTTGTGATGCCAGCTACGCATGATCTTCTGGCATGGGCGTGTCCCAGTTCATGGTAGGCTCAACACGGAAAGTCGTTCCCCGAAAACTAACACCACCAACACCCCGGCACGGCCTCATTCCGGTAGTAGCCCAATCCAAGGTGGCCGATCTTAAACACAAAGCCCGCATGCTCACCTCAACGTGAACCGAGGTTTTTGAAGCGGAAACCGACATCACCTGATCATGGCACCCGCCTTCGGGCCGACTCGCCGGCCAAAAGTCCACCTGATCAAGCTCCTCGGACGAGGCACTAACAACCAAAACGTTATTGAACAAAGATTGAAAAGCAAATTGCAAATACGCTGTCCTACCACCAACGACTTATACTGACAATGATGAACCTTTTACCAAGCGTGTACGTGGCTACACGTTTTGCACATTCAAGTGTACCACGAGTTCATCATGGCCAATCCCAATCATCAGTTACAAGGCTGGTGTTGACGGTGTTGAAACACAACGACTGACTTCCATATCCGATGCCAATCTCTTCAATCTGCTAGTGACCTGTATGCCATACGCAATTGGATGTTGTGCGGATGACTATGACATTGACGCCGCGCGCCTGGCAAGGAACACTACTTTCATGCCAGAACCGGAACCCTTCTAAAGTTGCAGGTCATCGGTTATGTTCAAACACTTTTTCCAAGGAAGGTTGCAACATAAGGATTTTCAATGTATCTCTGGAAAACATGTTTTGGGTTGATTGTTCTAATACTTTTTGCCAGGCAGCTTTGCGATCAAGGAGGGGTAACATGTTTAAACAAAGTAGCACAAACATACACAAACTGTTCTACTGAAAACCCGTGTTTGTTGTCCATTTATTTTGGTTTCAACAAGGCCAAATCTTGTAACCGTCACAACGACCGAACAAACATCAGTTCAATATTAAAAAATCAACGGTGTCCTTGCACATTGACAAAACACAATTGTTCATAAACAATACCAGCCCTTTGGAATCCCGATTCGAAATAACCATGTGACCCCTAGTGAACTACAGTAAACCTCAAACACTCAAAAACAAAAAAACAAAAACAACATGTAACATATATCAACATCTCGAAAAAAATGGAGGATTATGGCCAAAAAAAAATTGCCCCGTCTCTTTGGAACGGACGCATCATCACAAAAACCGGCCTGGTCCTCGGATCCGCTGTCGGCATGGCCTTTGGGAACTGATTTGCTACAAACATTTTGGAGTGGCAAACCTAGCATCCCAATTGACCACACATGGCACGTGATATCTATCACCATCGGCATGAGCCTCCGGTCGCGTTGTGATGCGTCACTTCCTGCTGGCCCTGGCGCCACAACGTGTCTGCTGTCTCGAACTGTTCACAACATAAGGCACGACTATATACACATTGACAACTGCTGCGCGGGCAACTCCCCACCTCAGCCACCGAAAGGGCATACTTTTTGTCTTTGTGCATCCGGGTCAGGATAGTCAGTTTTTCGGACGCTGCCTGCGGCCGTTGGTCCAAATTCCACGTCATGCATATTTTTCACTCAAACAACCCAACCGGCTCAGAAGACTGGCCTGGCAAACCGTTTGCTGTTTCAACCTCAGCGGTTCCCAAAATATCCCCGTGTCACCCTCGGCCGCACAAAACTGCCATGAACAACACACCAGTCAAGTCGCAAGGCGTCGCTCGCTGCATTGACTTCGAGGGTGACATTCCGGCAGGCCATGTCAGGATCTAAGCGCGCGCAGTACTTGAGCAGCCGTTTTGCCCAGCAATTGGCTTGAAAAACGTCGGGGTTCAACGGACAGTCCAACACAAAATGTTACACACAAAAGCACATCACGTCCCTTTCGTTTGTGCCACTAGTGTTGGGCACAATCGACACCGTGTTTCCACAAAGATTTCAAAAGCGGGAACCACCCCACAACACATCAACAGCAGAAATCAAACCCGATCGAGTCGAACTGACACATTCCCACGGCCCAAGCGACACAGTGAATTGCCAGCCCAACGATGAATGGGGACAGGTTTCATGGTGTAATGGCATAACGATTTATGTTCAAAAACGTGAAAATGTTAAAGCACGTCCCGACATGTTCATTCTTGATATATAATTTGTCAAAGAATCCTCAGAAAAACCATTCCCTGCTAGCATTTGCTGTCTCACAAGTGATCGTTATCGGCTTCACTATTGTTTTTCTAAAGGGTCTACTCGTAATCACCTGTTTCAGGTATGGCCTGAGCAGTATGCACTCACCGATATCATCGATGCAGCCTTGGCCCTTCCACCTCGGTATGGTCGGCAGTGACACCCACCCAGACGCCCAAAAAAGTTTAATTCTTGCGATTTCACCACTGGACCATGTTCCATAGCGTCCCGTGGTCGTCCGCAGCGTCCGCATCCGGTCATCCAATCTTCGCACCCTTTGCTGGACCACACGCAGTTGCAGAACCGCAGCACCGCGTGCCCACAGCGTCCCATCCAACGCTCGCACCCCCCTCTGGACCACATACGCAGAACCGCAGCTCCACAGCAGCACCACGTGGTCGTCCACGGCGTCCCTTTCGAACGCTCGAGTCATCTGCAGCGTCCCCGCGCCTTCCGCTGGACCCATACAGTTGCAAAACAGCAGCTCCACAGCAGCTCCGCCTGGTCATCCGCAACGTTCCCCGCGCCTGGACCACATACAGCTGCAGAACAGTAGCTCCACAGCAGCACCGCGGACGCTGACCTCCCGGTTTGCAAATTAGAGGAGAAATGCAAGCATCGGAGATGTGTTTGGACAAAATCGCGCAATGCGGCCCTTGATGCGGGTGCGTCCATGCGGCTTGAAATTGGGCAGCAACGCAATTGAGAAAACGAGCGGTTCAAGGCCGTGTGGCCACTCGGTGGTCATCCGAGAGGTAAGACAGAAACATTTATACAAATGCACTGCAAACATACATTGAGATTGGAACAGGCAATGGGCAAAACAACAGCATTTTTGGCGCATCGTGTTGCTTTCAGCACGGTCGTGGGCCACAATTGTTGATGTGGCACATGATCCGGATTTTTCCACCACAGTTGGATCTTCCCCTTTCGCCTGCGTGTTTGTATGTCATCAGGGCTGCGAAGCGGGAAAGTCCTACTACAAGTTGAACCACAGCACGAGCTGGTGTAATGGCTTTGCCGACAATCCATTCCTCTCAATCGGCCCTGGGGGCATGCACCTGGCAGATTGTGAATGTAAGCGGTGAACACCCCAAAAAAATACAATACAATTAGCACTTGACACCATGACGGCGGGGGGCTTTCCTTGCAGGAAACATCCCGCGAGAAGAACTGGAAGGCCGGGTGGTCGATGGTACTGGCAGCCGTTTGCACCGGCACAAAGGGCATGGCCAGCATCCCATGTAACACCACGGTGTGTTGAATCCGACTTGACGTTGCCTCGTTGCAGGACAACGGCCACTGGAAGGCCAGGTTGTCAATGCTAGTTTACAAATTGATACCATGAAGTTAAAGGCGGGGTGGTGTATCCAGTGGCACAGCCAAAAGTCGAGTTGTTGCCGCCTTACGTGGTACCCCGACGGGGTGGCAGCCATTGCGGGGATGGAACAGCAACTGTAGGGGCATATGGTGAGGCGCGGCCTCCTGAGGCTAGTCTTTTCCGTTCGAATTTTACAGTAAAGTACGGTGTTATGTCTGTCGTCACCAACCTGGACCCAAGGGGATGGGAGGGAGGGACGACGACCTGATATTGTCTCCCACGCAGGGTCGCATTGTTCCACGGTTCTTGACATGATGGGCCTTGGCATGCCGCACTGGGGCACCATAACCAATTGTCAATCACGGCGCGACATGCTGCCACGGTCTCGGGTTCTTAAACATACAACAGGAGCCGTTCCACTATCCAGCCAGGCCGCCGGTGTTTCGGCTGGCTCTGACGATGTTGCCCAATCCAGCTCCAAACCCGGCCTGCTGACAGCTTCGGTGCAACAGCCACCGATGCACGTGCTCCTATGGAGGCCGTCTTGACCTCCACGAGCCAAACTTCCCATGCCTGTGGCCGGCCTGAAGCTCCCTTCGCCACATGAAACAAACACATGGCTGCGCCAGCCATCGTGTTTGGAACGCCTCAGCGTCACTGAGATTTTTTTGTGGTTTTTGTTTTTAGGTTCCCGGGCTCACCTTGTTTCTGTTGACCGAAATGCGACGACGGTGGCTGGGTATGCCGGATGCTGTGCAACACACCCGGTGCTCACACCCCGGCACGCCACTCCCAAGCACGCACTCCTTCTGGATGGTCCCCCGTTCTTGAATTTTTCTGGGACGAACGTAGCTAGCTTCAGCTTCAACCTGGTTTCGTTTTCGCGAAAAAACCAGCAAAACACCGTGTCAATCCAGCTTGATGGCTTAATTCGCATCTGACAACACAGTTGTGCTTCAGCAAAAACAACTAGTCAGCAAATGTCAGCAACAAACACCCCGTGACAAAGCTGAAATAGACGATGTGATGGGATTCTGGACAACCACGTCTTGGAGGGCAGCGGGCCCGCCGGCACCATACGGCCTGCAGCGTCATCGCAGCCTGGTCCGATGCGCCGTGCCCACTGGTAAAACAAAGCTGCAAAACAGGCCGTGCCTCTGCCGAAAGGGTGGGCAGAAAGGAAACATTAACCAAAGCCAAGCAGGCTGAAGGCGCGTGCCGGGCAATGGACCGGAACCCAAGCCCAGCAAAGCAAAAACCCCGCTCAGCCTGCAACAGCGGCTCCGCTCCAAAAGGCGGGGCTACTAGGAAGAAAAACGGAAAGAGAACAGCACAGGAGCAGCGTTAACTGAGGGCAGGAGACGCCCGGATACAAACCTGGAGTCCTTTATAAGCTTTGATGCTAAGTCAGGAACGCACTATGTAGAGCCATTGGTGGCTTGTGAATGTGCATGAAGTGACGTGACGTGAAGTCTGTATGCCCCCATGCTTGGGCGAAAAAACTGTGTTCGCAAGCACAATTGATTGTATTACTGGCCCAACAATATCCTTTCAGTCTGTCAAAGCCCATCTTCGGGCAGCAAATCACTGGGCGACGGCAAACACGGACCGCAGAGTGGTGTGGGGTGCCGGTGGGGCGGGTGCCCTCGGTGGGTCACGGAAAAGGGGCGGGAATCGACAAGCTGCCCATGGACATTGCGAGTGTATGGGCCCAATCATGCCGAAACGGACGGAGAACTGAAAATTGATTTGCACACAGCCACAGAAAGGGGAATTTCCAGTGGGGTGGGCGACGCGATGCTGCCCAGAGCAATCCGCTATTGATTAAATTGGTTGAGCGCGGCCGCGGTTGCTGCACTTCTCTGCGCAAAAAGGCTCGCAAAGTATTAGCAAAAACGCAGGTCAACCCACGAACTACCTGCCGGGCGCGTTTCGGAGTAACATCTGCCCTTCGGCCTAATTACGGGAGTTTCGTTCTTGCCGCCGGCCAAAAAAATGGGCATCTTTCCAACCCCTCCCTCCGGCCCATACAGTGCCGGCAGCATGCCCGTCAGTGTGCGGGGCACGCTGCTCTGTACATTGCGGTTGCCACGACAATTACAAGCGGCAGGCACATCATTGAAAAGCACGGTTCTAGATAGATATCTATTCGCCTCCATGCCCACCAACGTCGACCTAAAAAAATCAAAAGCTACAGTGCGACCACAAAAACACCTTCAATAGTCGCACACGACTGGCCGACAAAAATGCACCTGTACAGCATTATGTTTTCACGTTCTGGCCCCAGAGCTTTGGCAGGATGCTGCCACTGAACAGAATAGGAGGACAAGGCACGCATGCGGAAAACACACGTCCAAATGTGAAATCGAAAAAACGTCGAATGTCACAAGCTGCAGCATGTCCGACACACCAACAGCCAACCATTCATGCGAAGGTCCACCCGCTGGCATCAAACCACCACAACACCATGAAATAGGACAGCTCGCAACAACAACAAAACAAACCTTGCACAAAATGTGCAACCGCCCTAGACGGGCAAGACGTATACATACATATTTATATATATATATACAGTGTATACATATATATGTTTTTGTACAATCAGCTTGGTGTCCACCATGCAAAAGTCCGTGCTACGCCAACAAGAACTGTTATCTACCATTGTGGGCCCGGAGCACGAGGTTGCAAGTCACGTTACAAATCAGTTGCGAACAAAAGAATTTTCCAACTGGCAACAAAAATTGCAAACCTACACGGACGCTGCCAGCTTCCACATGTCCTGACAACGTTGCCTCTCTCCTTTGCTGCTGAATAGCAAAAAATCATTCATGGCGCGACTCCCCAAATCGAATGATGCACGAAAGGAACAACAGTCCATTTGACGTGGACCCGGCAATGGGATACTTGATTGAGTTCGGCTGTCAAAACGGTGGTATCACAAATTGGTTGGCTGAAAGGTTGAATGGGTTCGGGTCTGTTTTGGGAGTTTTGTCTGTGGGTGTGGCATTTTCATACGTACTGCTCGGCAGAACACTGCAACGTTTTGCACTGCTTCCCAGTCTCATGTCCTGCTCGGCTGTGGAACTAAAACCGCTGATAATGATGCTGAGACTCCTTCGACAGGGTTGGATAAGTGGGAGGTAAGTTGGTAAACAAGGTTGTCCAGTTTGCTGTCGTTGCATTGCACCCTGCGAGGTTCATCAGGGTCAACATGCAAAAGGACCTGTCAAAAAAATAATGCAAATTACCAAGTTTCTGCCCATCTTGCGTCCAATATACTGTGTTTCCTTGCACGCT